AGGCAGTATCTCTATGCCTTCCAAGGAGTGGCTGGTGGGTTTGAACCGCCAGCCTTCTGGTTAGCAGTCAAATGCCTTAGGCACTACACCACTAGAGCTGCCACATATTTGTTGGATAAAAGAATTAATTTCTAGATCTAGATTATACTAAGCTCTAAGAGGGCTGGTTTTGTGTCAGTTTTGCTCAACCCTGTATCATTAAAAAAAAAAAAAAAAAAGTCCAGTGCTTTGCATATAGTACTTTACTCATCCAATGTTTATCAAATGAATAAATTCCATTTGATATATCACATAAATGCTAACCAGAAGGCTGGCGGTTCAAACCCACCAGCCACTCCTCAGAATGAAGATGGGGCAATCTACTTCCATAGTGATACTGCCTCAGAAACCCAAGGAGGGGTCGCTATGAGTCAGGACTGACTTGACGGCACATAACAACAACAACAACATGAGAAAAGGTTGGTGTCAAAGATGTCAGTCATTTTACCTTTTATACTATTAGCCCCTCCATCTTTTTTTGGTGCTTTTATAAATAAATCACTCACCTAGCAACACCTAAGTATTCACACTATCAATGATACAAAATACCAATAATATGAATTTCCAATAAAAAATTTACTCACTATCTACTCTCATTGTTTTATCAATATGAATGTTACCATTAAAGTCAGTATTATTTATTGTGAGTTTAGGCTAAGCACACCAAAAGCCATCAAATCCTCTCCCACCATAAATAAATAAATAACAAGTTTTAATAACGTAATACTTGTGTTGAATATTTTATCTTTCATCAGGAATATAAAATAGATATTCATCTATAAAATAGATGAATTCAGTTAGACTCCCTTAAAACCACCTAAACCTCCTGTGTGAAAAAGACACCAACAAATAAACAGATTCTCAGGACACCAATACATAATCTCACAATCCAAACCAAACTCCCTGCCACGGAGTTGGATCCGACTCATAACGACCCCTCCTTGGGTTTCTGAGGCATATCACTACGGAAGTAGATTGCCCAACCTTCCTTCCGAGGTGTGGCTGGTGGGTTTGAACTGCCAGCCTGGTTAGCAGTCAAATGCCTTAGGCACTACACCACCAGAGCTCCCTAATCTCACAATACTTGACACAAAACTAATTTTGCAAACAGAGTCACCTCTCTGACTTCAGAAAAGTATGCATACAAATGCGGGGTGGGGGGCAGAAGCCTCGAAGTTCCACTAGCCATAGGTTCAAAGGCATGTCTAAAGACAGCAGGCATGGCATATGCCCCGAGCACTGCCTAAAGGGGGCACCACTGAGCAGTTACTATGAACGATAGCAGTTTCCATCACCAGCTTTGAGGGATCATTCAGCAAGTTAAAACTAACACTTTCGTATTTGAGAACCCCTGTGGGTCAAGGCAGACTGTGTGATCTATGTGATTTTGCTCTGCTGAGTGTAGAAAGAGAAGAAACCGAAAAAAACGACGGGGCCAATTTTCATCAGTGAAAGCAAGGAGGGTGCAGCTGTAATTTTCTCATAGTGCCACCATGTGTTAAGTAAATGAAGAATCAGCTTGACTCTGCTTTCAAAGTTGATGTGACGGTAAAGTGATCTACAACATGGGTGTCAGATGTTTGGACGCAGGTTTCCATAGGTACAATTTTCCATACATAACGCCTCTACCTAGATTGCATGTTTTATTTTCTAATATATAAATATAAACAACAACCTAAGCCTTGGGTTTGTTGGTTAGCTGGGTGGGTAGGTGGGTGGGTGCATGGTTGGTTTGGGGTTTTTTGGGTTTTGGTGTTGGGGTTACTTTTTGTTTGTTTGTTGGCAAACATGTCTTTCGATTTAAAGTCGAACGTTAACTTCTCAGTTATTAACACTGACACTCATCATTGTTGAATCTTCCTGACAAACTAGGCTGCCACGGTCATTTAATTTTTATTTAGTACGTGAACCAGTATTGCTGCAAAATGCTCCAAATCTTCTTATTAGAGCAGAATTAGCCAGTTGGGGTTTGCAGTGTTACTCTCCCTGCTCACACCTGTGAAACCCGTGTAGTAATTAACGCTACATGAGTTAGGACTGTTGATCAGTTATATAGCAAATGGGACGGAGACATGCAATTTGCTATGGTGTCATGAATGCTTTTCAAATTAATTTTAATTTATTTATTTATATATACCACCTTATTTTGGGAATGACTTATGACCATTTCTAAAGCCATGGTCAATATAATCCAGCAAGATTTTTGAAAATAAATAAATAGGTGAGGCCACCGTGGCACAGGAGAAATGACAAGAGGGCGTTCCAGAGCAATTCTCCTCTTACCTGTGTACTGCAAGCCCCTGTACTCGCTTATTGCCCCGGGAGGTTTTAAATTGGGCCAGTAGTGGAAAAGCATTTGCACAGCTGGAGGTTTCACTTGGGAAGGCCCATACGCTATCACATACAGAAGATCCTAAAGGAAACACAAGCATGTTTACTAACATCATCAAATAAAAAGAAAGGCAGTTCTTCCCACATTACCAAAGCAGGAAAACGTCCATGGGGGGTGGACTTGGGTGACACCCCTCCTATCACCATTCTCAGGCTCTTGATCCAGCCATGCCTCACAGAGAAGCTCCCACTAAAGCATTACGTATTGTTTTTTGTTTGTTTATTGGTCTTTCTGCAAATAAGCCCCCAAGTAGAAACCAAAATATACCACTTTTTACCAGTCTTTTCTAATCAGATTAATGTTAAAGAAAGATTTTATAATAGCATATACCACTTTGCCAAACATTGTATCTTTTAAAATATTTTCTTAAAATCCATTACTTAATGATTCACATCTACTATTCAAAAAAAGTCAGGTTCTCAAGCAACCTTTCAAATTAAATACAATTATTATTTGTCACTTAATATCATATTAGGAGCTCTGGTAGTGTAGTGCCTAAGGCACTTGACTGCTAACCAGAAGGCTGGCGGTTCAAACTAGCCACTCCTCGGAAGGAAAGTTGGGCAATCTACTTCTGTAGTGATACCACCTCGGAAACCCAAAGAGGGGTCACTATGAGTAGGGTCTGACTCAATGACACATAACAACAACAACAACAATATAATATTTGCTAAATTCCAAAAAAAAAAAGATAGACTTAGTTACTTTTTCTGTCGAGGCATTGTTTTTCTCCTCTGGAAGAAAAATAAATCAACCACTAAGAAAGAATTATAGGCTCTGCCACACCAAAATAACAAGACATCAATAAATTTGACTTAAACAATAGTTTTAGTATGCAAATAATTTTTACTACATTATGTAAATTAAGTTTGTGGCTCTGAGTTAAATTTGGCCCAAAACTTACTTTCCAGACTTCTTGTTTATATTTCATGAGGCATTCCAATAACTGACAATGATACACTGTAATAAAGAAATATAATTACCATGAAATAGAAATACTGGACAAAATGTCCCTTTAGATATAACAAACTACATTCATATCACTTGGACCCCTAATCATTAAATTAGAATGACTTATTTCTATATACTCATATTTTCAAAAATCATATAAGCCCTTGACTTTATTAAATTTTATTCCAAGGTCCTTGAGAAGCATTTTATTCATCATGTTAACAAAAGAAATGATAAGAAGAATCCCTAAGAATCATATTTCTGTAATATAAACTTGTATCAATATACTCAAGAACTACCTAGAGGGGAAAAAAAAAAAAAAAACTCGTCCAATAGCATCAAATTATCATTACAATAAAAACTACCACTTACTGAGCATTCATTACCTGTCAGGTATTGTATGAAGAGCTTTATATGTATTATTACAAAACCATGATATGAAGTTTTATTCCCATTTTGCAGTTAGGAAACTGAGGCTTTGGAAAAAGTTAAATAACCTGCCCAGGCAGTAACTGACAGTCTGATGGATTAGAATGACAGTTTTCTCATCTATTACCAATTCCATCTTGTTGAGAATTTCTAAAAGCTACACAACAGCAAGCTCCTTTGATTTGGCTATGCTTACATGAGGAAAAGAGATACCTTCACCTTAGTTTGATGCCTGTGTGAGGTCTTCTTTAATCATCCAGTCAGATCATGTTACTCAAACAGATCTCACTTTAGTCACCAAGGACCTCCATGTCATTCAATCCAATGGGCATTTTTCCATCAGTGCCTTACTTGATACTTCAGCAGCATTCAGTACTGCTGTCCACTATCTCCTCCTTTGCCTTCATGACATGACACTCTAATATCATCTGTAGGCAACTGTTGTTTGTGACTCAATTACTTTCAACATCCCCCTTCTTCCTTGTCCATCTCACTACACACATTCCAAAAGGGAGATGCTCATACTCTAACGCTCTCTTTTAGCTACGTTTTGGCAGGTTCTGGCCAGTAAGACCTGAAGACAAACCTGCTGGGAAACTTCTGGGACACAGATGTCCTCTCTGGTAAAAGGAAAGGAGCTTTGTGGCAGACTGGTTAAAGCATTCAGCTGTTAACCAAAAGATCAGTAGTTTGAACCCACCAGTTCTTCCACAGGAGAAAGATGAGGCAATCTGCTTCCATAAAGATGTACAATCTTAGAAATCTTATGGGCAGTTCTATGCTACCCTAGAGGGTCACCATGAATCAGAATTGACTCCATGGGAGTGGGCTTGGTTTGATGAAAGGAAAGAGGCATACCAGGAGGCTTTTCTCTAATTAACCTGACGAAGACTACTAATCAGAAGGCTGGCAGTTCAAACCCACCAGCCACTCCTTGGAAGAAAGGTTGGGTAATCTACTTCCATACTGATACCACCTCGGAAACCCAAGGAGGGGTCGCTATGAGTTGGATCCACCTCAATGACGGTGAGTTTAATCCTATATCACCTATTTGGGGTTGTGGTTGTGTGTAGATATAATACCTCCACTCCGGCATCTAACGTACAAACATGAGGGGACATCAAAGAGAAACTCAAAGATGCCATCTCAGCATCTGATACTATGCAGCTATCCTCAAGACTTCCTACCAAGTAAACAAAAAATGTTCTTGTAGTTTCAGGCTCTGTTGGTCAGCCAAAATTCAGCACAACTCAAAATGACAAGAAATAGCTGCAAACATTTATTAATAATCATAACACAGAACACAAAATGTATGAATCTAGGAAAACTGGAAGTCATCAAATGAAATGGAACACTAAAAGATTGATATCCTAGGCATTAATGAGCTGAAATGGACTGATATTTTGAACTAGACAATCATATGGTCTACTATTGCCAGGAATGACAAGTTGAAGAGGAATAACGTCACATTTAACTTCAAAAATAACATTTCAAGATCTATCCTGACATATAATGCTGTCAGTGATAGGATAATATCCAAAAGCCTACAAGGAAGACCCATTAATACTACTATTATTAAAATTTACGCACCAACCACTAAAGTCAAAGATGAAAATATTGAAGGTTTTACCAACTTCTGCCATTTACCAAGTCTGAAATGGACCAAACATGCAATCAAGATGTATTAATTATTACTGGTGATTGGAATGTGAAAGTTGGAAACAAAGAAGAAACATTGGCAGTTAGAAAATATGACCTTGGAGACAGAAATGACACCAGAGACTGTATGACAGAATTTTGCAAGACCAATGACTTATTCATTGCAAATACCTTTTTTCAACAACATAAACAGTGACTGTACATGTGGACCTCACCAGAATAAAATACACAGGAATCATGGACTACATCGGTGAAAAGAGGCAATGGAAAAGGTCAATATCATCAGTCAAAACAAGGCCAGGAGCTGACTGTGGAACAGACCATCATTTGTTCATATGCAAGTTCAGGTTGAAGCTGAAGAAAATTAAAACAAGTCCATGAAAGCCAAAATACGACCTTGATTATATGCCACCTGAATTGAAAGACCATCTGAAAAATAGATTTGATACAATAACCAAAGACCAGATGAGTTGTGGGTTGACATCAAGAACATCATACATGAGGAAAGCAAATAGTCATTAAAAAGACAAGAAAGGAAGAAAAGACCAAAATGGATGTCAGAAGAGACTCTGAAACTTGCTCTTGTACATAGGGTAACTAAAGAAAATGGAAGAAATGATGAAGTAAAAGAGCTGAAAAAAATTTCAAAGGGCAGCTCAAGAATACAAAGTAAAGTATTATAATGAAATGTGCAGAAACGTGGAGTTAGAAAAACAAAATGGACTAACACATTCAGCATTTCTCATGCTTAAAGAACTAAAGAAAAAAAATCCAAGCTTCAGGTTGTAATATTGAAGGATTCTATGGGCAAAATAAGAAGATCTGGTGGTGCAGTGGTTGAAGCATTTGGCTTCCAACCAAAGGTCAGTGGTGTGAACCCACCAGCCACTCCACAGTAGAAGAAAGATGAGGCAGTCTGCTTCCATAAGGACTTACAGCCTTGGAAACTCTTTGGGGCAGTTCTACTCTGTCATCCAGGGGCTGACTATGAGTTGGAATCAACTCAATGGTAGTGGTTTAGAGAGTTTTTTATGGGCAAAATATCGAATCATGCAAGAGACATCAAAAGAAGGAATACAAAGAGTCACTATACCAAAAAGATTGGTTGACATTCAGCCATGTCAGGAGATAGCATATGATCAAAAACCTATGATATTGAAGGGAGAAGTCCAAGCTGCATTGAAAACAAGGCTCCAGGAATTAACAGAAGACCCATTGAAATGTTTCAATGAACAGATGCAATGCTGGAAGGACTCACTCATTTATACCAAGAAATTTGGAAGGCAGCTAGCTACCTGGCCAACCAAATAGAAGATATCCGTATTTGTGCCCATTCCAAAGAAATGCGATCTAACAGAATGGAGAAATTATCTAACAATATCACTAATATTACATGCAAGTAAAATTTTGCTGAAAATAGTTTGAAAAACGTTGCAGCAATACATAGACAAGCATTTGCCAGAAATTCAAGCCAGTTTCAGAAGAGGATGTGGAATGGGCACTATCACTACTGATGTCAGATAGATTTTGGCTGAAAGCACAGAAGACCAGAAAGATGCTTGTCTGTGTTTCACTGACTATGCAAAATCATTTGACTGTGTGAATAATAACAAATTATGGATAACACTGCAAAGAATAGGAATTCCAGAACACTTGATTGTGCTCATGAGGAAGCTGTACATAGACTAAGAGGCTGTCGTTTGAACAGAACAAGGGGATACTGCATGGTTTAAAATCAGGAAAGATGTGCATCAGGGTTGTATCTTTTCAACATGCTTATTCAATATGTATGCTGAGCAAATAATCCAAGAAGCTAGACTATTTGAAGAAGGACACAGCATCAGGATTGGAGGAAGCCTTATTAACAACCAGTGATATATAGATGACACAACCTTGCTTGCTGAAAATGAAGATTTGAAGTACTTCAGTATGGATTACACCTCAACATAAAAATCCTCACAACTGGACCAATAAACAATATCATGATAAATGGAGAAAAGACTGAAGTTGTCAGGGATTTCATTTTACTTGAATCCATAATCAATGGCCATGGAAGTAATAGTCAGGAGGTCACACAACATGTTTCTTTGGGCAAATCTGCTGCAAAAGACCTCTTTAAAGTGTTTAATAGCAAAGATGTCACTTTGAAGACTTAGATGTGCCTACCTAAACTATAGTATTTTTAATCATCTCAGCTGGACAATAAATAAGGAGGACTGAAGAAGAATTTATGCATTTGAATTACAGTGTTGACAACGTACCATGGACTGCCAGAAGAACGAATAAATCTGTCTTGGAAGAAGTACCGTCATAATGCTGTTTGGAAGTGAGGATAGTGAGACTTCGTCTCTCATACTTAGATCATGTTATCAAGAGGAACCAGTCCCTGCATGTTCTGACCCACAGAACTATACAGTGTCATCTCGTACCAGACTGCCCTGTCTTAGCTCCAGCCACCTTGATCTTTCAGATCCACCTGCTTGCCAACTCCCTCCCAAGACACCAACACATGCCACTTCCTCTGTCTGCACTCCTCCCTCCTTTGCAGGCTTTCTTAGTCACTCCTCATCCTTCAGTTCTCAGACCAAACATTACTTCATCAGCACAACACACCTGTTTTGAAGCCCTTGTCACAGTAGAAACTTTACACTTGCTTTTATAATTATTTGTTTCCTGTCTTCTTCCTCTATCAGATTATAAGCTTCCTGAGGTAAGGACAGGAGTCAACTCTGGTTTACTAACTGTGGAATCCCCAGTGCTGGCACATAATAGATACTCAAGGTCTAATGTTGACTGTATGAATAGTCCTCTAGAATTGGAATCTTATTCTAAGTCATTGCTGAATTCTCAAGCACAGATGTACCAGGACACTTCCTCCTTGCATAGTATGTTACAGTGTAAACAAGCTTCTGTATGTCTAACATGATCAGAGTAGTCCACTGACTGCCCTTTGGACAGACCTGAAAAGTCCCTTTATTTAAATTACTTTCCCCTCCCAGAATGCCCCATTTATACTTTTCATCAAAATTCCGTCCATATTTTAAGATTTATATTTAGCTCAAAGGAGCTCTGGTAGCATAGTGGCTAAGACACTTGACTGCTAACCAGAAGGCTGGTGGTTCAAACCCACCAGCCACTCCTCGGAAGGAAGATGAGGCAATCTACTTCCGTAGTGATACTGCCTCGGAAACCCAAGGAGGGGTCGCTATGAGTCAGGTCTGACTCGACGGCACATAACAACAACAACAACAACATTTAGCTCAAGTGGCGTGTAGCCTTCCGTGATCACTTCAATCCATAGAGTCCTCATTCTCTGATAAATTAATGCTGTCCGCAGGACTTACTTGTAGCCCCTGGGTGCTGCCAACAGTTAACACGCTCAGCTACTAACTGAAAGGGTGGGGATTGGAGCCCACCCAGAGAAGCTGCAGAAGAAAGGCCTGGCAACCTACTTCCCCAAAACCAGCCACTGAAAACCCTGTGGAGCACAGTTCTCTGGCACACACGGGGTCACCAGGTGTCAGAACTGACTCAATAGCAACTGGTAGTGAACATTTAGTTGGTACTTTTCATAAACTACTTTACATTGTTAACTAATGATTTATGAATATGCCTCATCTTCATGATAATCTTCCCGTGAGACATAAGCCAGAGCAAGCATCATCTCTTAGATTTCTGGGTGGTCTTCACAATGCCTAGTGCAGAAGCGTATGCAGAGGACTGACTCAATGAATGCCTGATATCTGAGCCAGAACGGTGCTATATATAGCCTTTATGCACAACCGGCTACAAGGATCAAGCTACTGATTGCAGGCTTTCCCAACACAAATTCAAATGATAGGATTATTCCCTATACTGTTTGGTCCCGCAGGGTTCTTGGGTGGATACGTCCCTACTTCTTAACAATTTCCAATGCTGTAAGATTGGTTTAGGGTCCTAAATATAATCCCTCATATAGAATCACTGGTTATAAACATTGCCCCATGAACAAACGAAGCTACTGACTGGAGATAACAAAGGTAAGTCTATTGGATCACATGGTTTTCCAGGAAGAAGTTCAAATCCATGAAGAAAACGGCAAATTGTAGAAGTTGGCATTGTTATTTACTGAGTTTAGAACTTGCCCACCACTATGCTAATTAAGCACTTTATATATACTTAACTGGTTTACTCCTCAAAATAACGTTTTTGAAGTACTGCAAGAATTGTCTCCACTTCATGGATGAGGAAGCCTAATCTTAGAGAAGTTACAGAACTTGCACAAGGTGACAGTAAGTGACAGTTAGGCATGAGTTCAGATGGGAACCTCCTCGAACTTCAGATGCATTCTACCTCAAAACACATGATTTTACCCAACCTCCTAAACTGCTTTCCAATTTAGAATTTAAGACCAAACCCTCATGATCAGAATTTAATTAACTACTTTCCAAACAAAGGTGTTTTTTTTTTTTCAGACCATAATATATAATAAGTATAAATTACATTTTGGTGGTCCTTTACGGAGCCCTGGTGGCAGAGTGGTTAGATGTTTGGCTGCTAACCGAAAGGTCAGAGGTTTGAACCCACTCAGTGGCTCCACAGGAGAAAGATGTGGCAGTCTGCTTCCATAAAGATCACAGCCTAGAAACCCCATGGGACAGTTGTACTTCATCCTATAGGACTGAGTTGTACTTCATCCTACAGGACTGAGTTGTACTTCATCCTACAGGACTGAGTTGGAACTGACTCACCAACAAATGGGTTTTTTGGTTTAAAGCCAGACAGAGTGAGATGTAAGATATAACTTCCCATAAAATATATTCATATATTATAATTAAATTCATATAATAATCATAAAGAATTTTTATATTTAACAAGATGACACACCAGGTTCCAAAGCATTTAGATTTTGAAATAAAAATTTTATATTTGCCCATCTTAAGTCAAAAGCTCAAATATTATTTATTACATAATTAAGAGGAAGTTAGAAAGCAGTGCCACAAAATTTGCTCTCTTTAAAAATAAGCAAAAGTAAAAAACCATGTTCATATCTTAGCATGTGACTTCAATAGTAATTAAGCCCTTTTTTAGGTCAGTTTCCCAAAGTTCATCTGTAATTATACTGATGAATGAAGATCAAACAAAGTAAATCCATTAAAAAAAATTGGCATCACTTAGTAATGAAAGAAATACAAATTAAAACCATGAGATATTATTTTTTATCTGTCCAGCTCTACACAATTTCTATCAGAATATTCAATGACTCTGAGGGTGAAGTTTGACAAGAACTTTCATTTACAACTAGAGGAGTATTGAAGGTTTTTCAAGTTCTTTAATCACATAATCCCTCTTTTCTGAATTTATTCTAAGAAAGTAATCAGAAATGTAGTAAAAGATTTATATTCAAGGATTCTCATACAGCACTCTGTTCACAAGTTCACCAAAGTATTAACAGTGCTTATCTCTGGCTATCAGAACTGCAGGTGATTTTTATGTTCAACTTAACTACTTCTTTCATTCAATACTTCCATTCCATTAATTTCTGGTCAATGTCCTAAATGGTGTCCCCAAACATTCTAAAAACAAAAACCACTGCCCAGTTAGATTACTGCTAATAGCAATAGGCAAGGGAAAGCTACTTCAACTCAAACATCTGGTTTCTAACACAATGTTTTCTAATATATTGTCCTAACAATTGTTTATTCATCCAAGAGAAATCCTTCCCATACGGGAACTTCTGCCTACTTGCTGGATGTTTTGTCAAATTGTTGGTTTTGGAAGTAGTTGAGCAACTGAAATGTCCACTTACCTGGATTGGACGTGTACTGCATTGCAATCATTAGCATGGATGATGCAGAGAGATTAACATGGGCAGGAACGCCTTCTCTCCTTGAGGAACCCACTGGAACCAAAATTGTTTTGATTAGACAATTTAATCTCTATATGTACTTGTTATTTTGCATAGAGCACGAGAGCTGAGAAGAAACTTTTTTTAAAAGTCCCAACCAAGTCAGTGGAATTTTTGCACAAATAAAACCACACAATTTCTCCTAGCATACAAACATACAGTTGTCATCAGTAGCAAAGATTCAGTGGGAATCTATAAAGAGAAGAAAGAATGCCAAACTGTGATATAATAGCTCAATCAATTGTACTTAGATGTGATCTCTGCTCCCAAGCTGTTTATGTCTAGGTTAAAAAGAAAGAGAAGAAAAGAATATTCTATGTGCCCAAACATACAGGCATGTTGAAGTTTATCCCATTAAGACAAGTGAAAATAAAAGGATTTTGAACTCAATTTGAATATTTCAGATTTTAGAGATATAGATAAAACAGACAACTTATAATGTATAGTTTATTAATTTAGTTACTCATACAAATGATAAAAAATACTATATTAATTAAAAAGTTCTTTTCCAAAAGACAGGCCTATAAGGTGAACATTTACATTAGGTAGATATACTCCATGGAGAGAACAATCATGAGAGAATAGAAGGGCTGTGTATGCACAGGGAGACAGCTGGGGGGTGCGGGGCAGGAGTACATGGGAGGGAAGGACACAGGGAAGAGGTAACTATGGGGAGGAAGTGGGAGGGGGGCTGTTGCATTGTGGGAAACTGTAGTCAATGTCATGAGACAAAGTGTACGTGAGCTGCTGTATGAAAAGTGAATTTGCTCTGCAAACTTTCACCCAAATCACAATAAAAATTTTAAAAATAAAAATAAAGAACATATAGAAAATGAAAAAAAAAAAACTTCTCTTCCATTTTCATATACCAGTAAACAATTTTCCTCAAACCTCCACATGTATCTTCATCATCAGTGTCTTCATCATTTGAGAAACATTTTTTTTTTTAATTTTCCAGAGACTACCATCCTTATAGCCATCTGTCTTGTTTGAAATACAGCACTTTTGAATGTGTGAATAATCTATTACGTGACATGTGATCCCATGCCACAAGTACTCTATCATAAAGCAAGCTGGTTTCCTCAAAACTCATCTAACAGTGGTGTAATCAGGATCTCCACCTCATAATCACGTATTGTTCTGCTTCTAAGAGACTTTTAAATGGCTTGTTTACACTGACACCCAACACTGTACTAAATTCCTTTATCTCGCTTTTTTAATGGATAGTATCAAGTAACTCCTGTAAGTATTCAAAACCAGCACAGATGGAGGGCATCTGGGGTAATGTGTTGTCTCCAAAGAGTATTTTATTATTACAAATGCAGTAATTGAGAGGTGATCCCAATAGGAGAGACTTTACAATGACTGAAATAAAAAAAATGAATCCCTTTTTTAATTGCAGAAGTGGGAGGAACTTCTCCTGATAGTTGAGCTTGTGTGGGAAATTATTAAGAAAACATGAACAGATGAACAGAACAGTGTATAGGGAGTATCCAGTCCAGTTGCCATCAAGTCAATTCTGCCTCCACGGAGTTTTCTGAGCTATAAATTTTAGAAGCAAATTGTCAGGCCTTTCTTCCAATGCACCACTTCCAAGATTGGGCTCTAAACACCAAACTTCCAATTAGTAACCACATCACCAGGGGCACCTGGGTGTGTGGTAAACACACACTATGTGTGTAGTAAAACACATATAATAGAACCATTAAAATACTAATTTAAAAATGAGACATATAATGGATAGAAAAGACAAAGTAAATTTAACATGATTCTCTTTTTTTTTTTTTTTTTTTTTGACATAAATTACTTTAGACACCGTAATGGATGGTGGCCCCAACACAACTCTGAAGAAACAAGCAAACAAATGAAACCATTGTATTAAGTTCCATCTGCCCTCATTCACTGTATCAACCACTTGCTGGCTGAGCTACAATAATCACCAAACAGGTGACGTTCAGGCAGACAAATTAACTGAGCTATACCATATACATAAGTATTAATAACTATACAAAGATATGGCAATCAGCTCACTGCTGTTAGATGGTAAAGCTGATTAATGAAGGAAAAAGCACTCTGAGCCAAATTGTAAAGAAGATGCAATGTTTTCAAACTTTGGCCAGGGATCTTGTTCAAATGCAGGCTTCCTGGGGCCCACATCTAGGGACTCGGACTCCATCCGTTTGTGAGGCAGAGTGTCACGTGTGTAATAAACATATCTGGTGAGTCTGATGCACGTGTCCTTTGGAGTTCCCTCTCTTCCTCCTGTGAGTAGTTCTACTAGAAGGATGAGATATAAGAAACACTCAGTAAAGTGTCCATGTGTGAGCTCTTTGAGTTCTTTGTTAAAAAAAAGTAGTGACTCAGACATACTGAAGAAAAATGTATACAATATTTTTAGCCATTCCTTTTGGGGTGAGTGTTTTCATCTTTGTTTAAATTCACCTCAAAATTTTTAGCAGTAAGAACTTCTAAACATTGAAAATACTATGCAGGGAGGCTAAGTCAATGTCCCTGGAGACCTTTAAAAACAGGAAAGATGCCCAAACGTCTTGGATGATTTAGGTGAAGTCTACTTGGAGAACGGCCCAAATAGCTTGGTGGCCTTTGGATATTCCTTCTATCCTACAAATCCACACTTTCCCTCAAGTATGGTCAGTCCCAAAGCCCAGAGTGTTCCCCTGGCTCAAGTCCTAGGAAACTGACTTCAATACTTCTGTAACAGATGGCGCCTTGTAATTTCTTAGCCTTCTGACAGCACAATGAAATCAGCACAACTTTAATTTCATAAACATGCACAGGCACACATCATTTACTGAATCATATTAAAAAGGCATGATGTAAACAGATGTGCAGCTTGTCCCATGAGGGTGGAGAAAGCCAAAAATATATAGAAGGGAGAATTAATCAAGAAAACCAAAATTTTACATTTAATACCATGCTCAGGGAATACAATGAAAAATTTTCAACCCTATTCCCTGACCCTCCCATCACCAGAACAACCAACACCACCATCCTCTCTCTCCTATGGACAGTATCAGTGCCTTCAAATGTTACTGTGTTGTACTTTCTTCTGTACTATCAAGTGCAGCTTGGTTTTGATTCTCATGAAAAAGTATGTGGATGGTAAAAATCGTTTTTTAACTTTGAGGATTAAGGTGTGCCTGACCCAAGCCATTATATTTTCAATTGCCTCATGTGCATACAAAAACTGGACAATGAATAAGGAAAACCAAAGAAGAATTGATGCATTTGAATTATGGTGTTGGTGAAGAATATTGAATATGTTGTGGAAGAAGTACAGGCAAAATGCTACTTAGAATCTAGGATGGCGAGACTTCTTCTCATATACTTTGGGCAAGTTATCAGGCATAACCGGTGCCTGGAGAAAGACATCATGCTTGGAAAAGTAGAGTGTCAGCAAAAAAGAGGAAGACCCTCAATGCGATGGACTGGCACAAGGGTGACAACAATAGGCTCAAGTATAATAATGACTGTGAGGACACTGTGAGGGCAATGTTTCAGTTTGTTGTACACAGGGTCAGTATGAGTTAGAACTGACTCAACAGCATCTAACAACAACAATAATTTTAAAAAATCATTTTATAAAGAAGAGATTATTTGCATGAGATCACCAACCTAATTCGTAGGACTACAGCCCAAGTCAAAGGGTCTAGCCACTTACTCATTTAACAAGTAATTTTTCAGTACCCCTTATGGTCGCTATGAGTCAATTAACTCTATGGCAGTGGATTTGGTTTTTGGTTATGTACCAAACATTATTCTAGGTCCTGAGGATACAGCAGTAAGCAAGACAAGCCTTTGAACTCACAGAGCGTAGCTCTGCTAGAGCTCTGTTGCACAATATCGTAGCCACTAACGACATGTGCCACCACCCATTTGTCAGCTTGTCATACTGCAATGGCTTGCATATTACTCTGATGCTGGAAGCTATGCTACCAGTATTTTAAATACCAGCAGGGTCACTCATGGTAGATAGATTTCAGCAGTGCTTCTAGACTAAGACAGTCTGGGAAGAAGGGCTTGGAATCTACTTCAGAAATGGTGTTGTTGCTAGATGCTGTCAAGTTGGTTGTGACTCAGAGGAATCCTATGTACAAAAGAACTAAACACTCACAATCAGTCCTGCGCCATCCTCACAATCATCCTCCCACTTTACCAAGCATGATGTCCTTCTCCAGGGACTGGTCCCTCCTGATAATGTGCCCAAAGTAAGTGAGATGAAGTCTCATCATCTAAGAAGCATTCTGGCTATACTTCATCCAAGGTAGATTTGTTTGTTCTTGTGTCAGTCCATGGTATAGTCAATATTTTCTGCCAACACCACAATTCAAATTCATCAATTCTTCCTCAGTCTTCCTTATTCATTGACCAGTTCCAAAAATTAGCCAATGAAAATCTTATGGATCACAACAGAACACTGTCTGATACAGTGCTGGTAGATGTATTTGGAAGGCATTCAAAATATGCGGTGGCCACAGCAAGGGACTCAAACCTACAAACAATCATGAAGATGACACAGGACCAGACAACACTTCATTTTATTATGTATAAGATCACCATGAGTCAGAGCCACAGGTGGCTATTAAAATCTAAAGTAATTAAAATTACATAAAATTTAAACAAGAATTCCTCAGTCACACTAGACACATTTCAAGTGCTTAGTGACTAGTGATAACTGTATTTGACAGCACAGAACTTTCTAGAACTTTTCTATCCTCACAGAAAGAACTGTTAGACAGTGTTGTTCTAGAGGAAAAGGCAAACCAACATCTGTGATGAAAGATAAAGCAAGTCAGGGGAAAGGTAGAAAGTGACAAATGACCTTCCTTTAGGTCGAGGATAAGAAGGGGCATCTGGTAAAAGGTGATATCTGGGCTGAGACCCAAAGAAAGTGCGGAAGCAAATCACGTGACTCTTTGGGAGAAGAACTTTGAGAGAGAAGTAAAAGTGTGGAAGCATGCTTGGTGCCTTTA